CATTGAAGTTAGACAACTCAGACATTCCGATGTCCAGCACACTGACACCTTCTGCCAAAGGCTCGCGCGAGTAGTACTTCTGTTACCTAGCGAAGTTATGTTCATGACTCTCTAAAACTTCGCTAGAAACGTTGAGCGTGGCGTCTAAGGTCTTAGACCTCCAATCGATCCATGGTTTATGGCGTTCAAGACAAGCCATACCAAGGATGAGATCATAGGTCGAGCCCCACAAGACAGCGTTCAATGCTGTCAAATCTAAAAACTGTTTTCTAAGTTCAATGGAAATTTAGGCACAATAACACGACTTCCAGTCACTAAACGAACCGTGATAGAGTCACCCTCATGCGCTGTAAGCGACTCAGCAGAATGCTGAATTCTCTCAAGGGAACGGCGTCGAGCATAGTTGCAGGACGCTCCAGAATCGATCAATATCGACCAAGGCTTCTCAAAGCCCTCAAGTTTCGCCTCGGCGACCAACAAGCCAGACTTGTATCCACGCACCATACCCGTAGGTATGGTTCTATTTGGGGCTAAGCCCTGCCTTCCTTTACCTTCAAAGGGGGAACAGAACCTAGTTCTTCCCCAGTAGGGCGCCCCGCGCCTACTGGGTGTCGGCATTTCCCCGTGCCATGCCAGACTTGTGACTCGGGGTCGAGTGATGATTTGTAGCCTGGCGTTGCTTACGCAAAGGGCAACCAGGCCGCAAGTGTTTAGTGCTTCCGCACGTAAAACATCATCGTACGACGTGTTGTTGCTCAGCAGCTTGAAGCTCAGCTTCACCTTCATCTTCAGCATAGCTGAGATCCATCAACTCCGGCCTATTATAGGCAGTGGTACTCGAAGAGTTTGCTCTCACAGAGCGAGGAATGTACCCATTCCAACCAGGTCTGGCCGACTTGAAGTTATGCTCAGCATTAAGAGCAAGTCTCACAGCCTCTTCGAAATAGAGAGGTGAACCCGAAAAACCTCGGTTCTGGCAATGCCAGTACGTTGACCTTCCATGAAGATAGTCACATGGACTGATTCAGGCAGAGGGTCGGACTGCATTGCAGCCATGAGCGTTCGCAGCTCCTGGACATAGTCCGATAATTCATTCTTACCCTGGCGGGTAGAAAGAAAGCGTGAACGCACGCGGTAAGCCTGGTTAGGTGGAAAAAACACCTGTACCAATTGTGACTTGAGCGACTCCCATGTGGATAACGCTATGTCCACCGACGTGCTACACGTCAAGACCCATTCTCTAGCTCTACCATCGAGCTTCGAGATAGCCAGCGAGACCTGTTGATGGTCAAGCGTGATCAGACCTGATCTCATGGCCATCTCAATCTCACGGATCCAGAGGATGAGTTTCTCACCCTACTTACCGAAGTAGTTTTTCACTTCCACTCTAAGTGGACGAGGCTTAGCCTCTTCATCTGGTACAGACACGTAGCGTGTAGGCATAGCCGACGCTATTTGGTCTTGGAACTGCCCTAAAAGGGTCGCTTCATACTGCATGAAGCTTTCAACACGTGCATTAAGCACTTCAGGACCTTGTGAAACAAGGAAATCCACGTACTCTGGACCCAAAGATGCGGTCTGTTTTTCAAGCGCGACCTTTTGGGCCTCAGATAGGGGAGTGGAGTTTTTCATCCTCACCGAGGATCAGTCCAAATAGACTCAGGCGGAGATTGACTACAAATGCTACTAAGTTTAGCGGAGCTACACAGCTCCATAAGTCAAAGGAAGACTTTTTGCTCAACGAGCAACCTAGATCCAAAGAACTAGGCTCAATGAGCCAACAAGCGTAAAGCTTATGGTCCTTTTTCCAGGGGACCAAACGATTCCGTGGATCGACAGCACTTAGTGCTCAAGAGTGACTAGCTACCTCAAGGAGGTGTTACTAACTCTTACTGATCAGTGATCAATGACCAAAGACGCCTTGCAAGGCACGTGTCGTTAAGATCAAAAAGGGAACTGAATTATTATTTACATTCAAACCTATTGCATATTTTAATCCTAATATTACCTAATTTATACGCTTACGTCCTAAGTTAGTACAACTGAGATCTTTCCTATCTAGTGGCTGACACCAGTCAGCCCTTATAAACCGATAAGATATTCTATATCTCCTTTATTGGGATATCATCCGTGTGTCTAAGACACAGGGTACCAGGTACCCAACTACGTGTAACCCCTTAACAATCAAGGATATCAATTTCGTTTGATGCCAAAGAGATCAAGCATGTCTTTCTCGCCGACCAACAAAGATATTCTAGCAGACGTGCGGAACCCTGGCTACATTTCTTACGATTTATTGACGATCGTATATGATGTCACGTCGTAACAAGGACCTGGACTCGCCTCGAGTCGGAAAGCGAAGCCATTTCAGGACACAGAGCGTGTAAAGTTGCGACTTTAATTGATGACAATGTTATGCTCATCAAGAAATTGAACGGCGAGAAACGTTCCTATATGCTCACCGAACAAACATCAAGTCCGAACAAGGTTTTGGATTTATCGAGAGGATCCGAGACAAGGTGCTACTCCACATGAGTCTTCAGTTTCTATGCTAAAACTTCTTGCTTTCTTCTTTCCGTGACGCGACATTGACATCAACAATGTTGGTGTCACGGAGTGTCCGTTACATGGAATTTACGTACAGCGCGGACAGGAATGATAGAGCCACCCGTTATTTTGCAGCCGTGAAGCGGGAAATTCGTGTTGAAGCACAACAAATAAATCCACATAAAACCTCAAACAACAAAGATGAAAGACCTCTTCGTTTAAAATTCGACTATGCGATCCAAAAGTATGATGCTAACGAAGAAAGGATACGATAATAATCATTGAGCCTCGTAAATAGAAATGGATACCGAATCGATATCAGCGTTGCTAGGATTACCTTAGTATAAATCTTCGTACCATGCTTCCTCAGCACTTCCACGCACTGGTTGTGCCTCAAATCGACAAGGTTTTGAACTTATTTAAAGTAGATTAATTATGCGCGACTATACAACGAGTAATGCGCGTGGTTTCGATTACTGTTGTATAGTCTAAGAAACCATTAGGCTTACAGCAGCAAGAAGAAGTTGCGAACTTAGGACCTACATATAATCACTCTGCATTTTGCATTCACCTCGACAAGCAAGTTTGAAATAATCACAGCACAGACCAATGTACGGTCAAATTTTCTTGTCTCAGACGAAGAGTGATCTACTGTTCCATCTGCATTTTACGGGAGACCGTAAAAACTGTAAGTGTTTGCCTAAAAAGACTCAAGTTACTGCCTTTCTACGCATGATTTGTACCGGCTATATGTTAGTCTTGATTTTTGTATGCTAAAGTAGGGTAAACGAAAGACAATGTCAACCTTTCAGTTTGCATTGACCTCCGTCACCACCATCAATGTGACGAGCCCGTTCCTCCTCTCCTCTAATAGAACATCTCCTGCGACAGCACGCGAGGGTACACGGCATACCCTGCGCACACGTCATGTGCAGCCATATTGAACCAAACAACCATTTAAAGTTAGTACATTTACAAAGCGATGGTCACCGTACATGAAGATGACGCGAACAGCCTCAACCTTGAGGTTTTGGCACGTTGCCACCCTTTTAACAGAAAATGCAAGCTCGCAAAGGTTGCACCACAACGTAACAAAACGCCAACCGTCGGTCTTCGATAGAACGGAGCGGTAGGTCGGTGGCAACAAACGCATCCACCAATAGGTTACGAACGGCGCCGGTGCCCCTCTCGTGTCTTCATTGTTTCCGTGGAATGCAGCGAAGACTAATTCTTTTTGAATGTATTCCACAAGTTTCTGTCGTCGTGTATGATCATCAACACGCCGCCGGTGTCAGGACTCTTGGTCTTCAACAACCATCCGACGTCGAAGTTGCATCTCGTCGCTAATTCTCCCCTATCGCGAGAACCACTTCATGACATGTAAAGAACCTTTTATTCCCTTGATGGTTCTTGTGGCAAGGCGTTGTCATTACCCACGCCGTTGCCGCCGCCTTGTCGTCCCAACTAGATTACGTAGTATGATGGATAGTTGGTGCGCTTCTTTTGTGTGTCAATGTTCTTTGATGTTCGAATTATTGTCCATTCGCTTGCCTCATTGAGGATACAAAAATTACGACCAATATCTAGCCGATACAAATTATGTGTAGAAAAGCAGAAACATACGTTTTTAGGCAAACGCTTAGGTTTTTTTTAAGTCTACCGCAATTTACGTACGCATGTATCGAATCCAAGCTGCTAGATGTCACACGTTGCAGCCCATCAATCGCGAGTCACCGGTACATGAGCACTACAAAAACGGCACCCTGGGTACTGTAGAAGCGAGGTCAAGATAGTGTTCGACGAGTTGCCAATTCGTCCTGTTGTCTAAGCCAAAGTTTCCCGCTTGTTTATTATCATCACCGCGCATTCGGGAACGTGCATTTGGCACAATCTCTTCGCCGCCACATGATCGGCGGTGAGAGTGAGAGAGGTGCTGCTTTGGGTACGCTATGCCAACTCACGTCAAGAACAGCAACATGTGAAAATACATGCTTGAACGTGCACTCGAAAGTGTTCCTCACGGAGATCAGACGTCTTCTTTGTCCTATGTTCACGCTCGTTAGCGCCGCCAGCTGTTCAAGCGATACTGCGTTTATACATCGTGACAACAAATGCAAATTCTGGATTTCCGGGATTTTGTGCTAAAGATACCGGCTCGTTTCTCGCTGAACCCACGCGGTCATTCGAGCATAGTGAAGTAATGTAGAGCTTTCGTTGCTACAGTAGCGTGCTCGTCTTTGCGGGCACCTCCTTAAAGATGGCGTGATGCTGTGCATGCGGAAGTGGGCACTTCACGGATCTGTTAAGTGATCGGCGATGAGCTGCTTGTCACAAGCAGTGACCAGATATTCGCATCGACCGTGGTACAAATGGACGGCACGTGCTTTGGCGCGCGATAACAAGGCAACCAGTTTCCAACTTCGATCGTCTTGACAACACCTTCACAACAAACGATGGAGCTTCATCGTGTGCTCAGCATCTTTGCGGCTGGATTGATCGGCCAAGGCTCGGCTGCTTCCAGCGTTACTTCGAATTCTTCTTTTACAGGATGGAAACCTTGCCCGGCCTACACTTTTTTCGACGAAGGTGAATACGCGGCTGATTGCGTGACCTACGATGCCCCATTGTGTTACCCCGGTATCTGCGATACAACGGCGAATGTGAACTCGACGATCAAGGTTTTCGTCAAGTGGTTGCGCGCAAAGGGGGCAACGGATACGACGCACCAAATGTGTGGATGATTCCAGAGATTAAATGTAGTGAAGGTAAGTGAAGGCTCTGGCTGTCCTATTCAATAATTTGAGTCTAATCGAGGACTCGCGTATGTTGTTGTAGTGGAACATTCGATGGTGACGCTACACAAAATCCTCGAAGTAGCAGTCAACGTGCATACGATGGATCTACGCGGAAATGGACGTGGTACACTGCTTAATTGCACATCATCTTAAAGCACGACGCGTGTTTCGCAGTCGGAAAGTCCCATGTATTTGTTGGATGTTCCTGCTTGTGCTCAAATCGTGCAGAACCATTATGAGGACCTCGATCCGTTCTCGGTCACAAGCGCTGCGACGGACATTTCACTTTCATTTCCAAGCATACGAACTGGGCGAGTACAATTTTGTGTGGTTAGGGCGGCGGAACAATGCAGGTCCAGCGTCTGATGCAGTTAAATCCTCCGAGCGTGAACGGATACTGTAACGGGGTAGCCCGTAACATGATGTTGACATTAAACGGTGTCAATAGGAATATTGTCTAGCATGACAATATTTTACCAATATTATCCGAGATGGATAATATCGAAGGAATGTTATCCCCTTGTAGGATAATATTCATGCTCTGCTCAAAGCTTGCTTGATAAAAGACAAATCAACGAAGGTTACCACTAATCGGTGCTAGACGTGCGTAATGAGTGGTTAGCAGGTTGTCGTCATACGACGACATGGTTTAATATAGTTGGATAAAGACTGAAGTTATATTGATAGCTTAACTATATTAAATACAGTTCTCTTCTTACCTTTACTTGACCAATCGTTCAATTAGATTAGATTCCTCTGCACGTACTATTGTGCGAAAAGTTTCGTGGCATTCCAAACAAAGGGTACCCCGTTACACCTGGTAGCACTTAGTAGCCCGTCCAACGACTACTTAGTGTCCGTCCAACATGAGCATGATGGACGGAGAAGACGACATCATTCACGTCACACGTGAAGGCTACTCCCACTTGAGTGACTCAGAATGGGAGGTAGTTGGCCGCATGAGTGTGCTCATGGGCGAACCCGCCATCAGTAGCATGTGAAATTCTTTCTGCCGAGACCAGCAACATGCTGCTATCAACAACTTCCTACAAGGGGAACTTGCCATCGAACGACAAAAGATAGCCTTGCTACAGCAGCAAGGCTCTCATCAGTCGATGGCGGGCCGACACACATGCTTAGACCCGAAACCTTAGAGATTGATATCTCTAGGGATGACCTACATGTTCCGAGTGGACTTCCATAAGCAGGAAAAGGCGATAACGTATGCGGAACAAGAAGACTTCAACTTGAGACAGTCTCAGGCTAACTCGTTAAACTATCGTCCGACCAGACGACAGGAAACAGGAGGTCTCGAACCGATGGACTTCTGTTACATGGAGAGCTAACAATATCGCTCTCTGAGTCACAAGCGAACGGCAAGGTGATATCTCTGTCAGAAGATTGGACACTACGCTTATCATTGTATTGTCGCAAGCACCACATCACGTTCAAAGACAGGACGTGATGACCGCCGTTAGCCGAGGAAAGGTCCAAGGCGTGGATCCGACCATGTCGCTAAGCCGCGACAGCAATTTGGACCTCCAAAAACGGTCAGGGTCAGTAGGGGCGGAGCTCCCTGCTGATCCAGCAACGTCAAGAGAATTTGCAGGACTCTTGACGAAGATTGCTCCCAACACACAGTCGCTGTGCGTTACTGCCCCTAGTGATGAGGTGTCTCTCATCACTTTGAAGATCGGAGTGACAAGTGGAATATTACTTTGCGCCCTAGTTGACTATAGGGTGTCGAGCAGTTTTATTCGATGCCAGTCGCTAAGGGATAGTAGGCTCAACTATGTTGAGAGAGAGATCCATCCGACGAGGATGGCGGTGTGCCTTGCTACAGGCGCATCCGTAACAGTGAACAAACGTGTAGTGGGGATCCACTACACGCTAGATAGAAAGCAGTACGATGATGACTTCATCGTACTGGATTTGGATGACAAATTTGATGTCATCCTTGGTTTGCCATGGCTTAGAAAGTACCGGCCATGGGATAGCTGGCAGCATGAATTTGTGAAGGTGACTGCCATTTTTTCATCAGATGGCCATCTGATGAACGTCTTGGAGCGTCCACAAGCGTGTGGATGTAGTACAAATGAGTGCGATGGCCTCACTTGATGTACGGTCGTTAGTATGACTGCACAAGATCACAGTGTAGAAGGCCACTACGCTGTGGAACCAGCTTCCGGCACCTGTCTAGAGACGCAGGCTGCGCCAAAGGTTCACCACTCGAAAAGATCGAGTGGACTGGAACACGGATGCACACCAAGGAGGGTGCATCCAAGAAGAGAGATTAGTGTTGTTTAGGATGAACAACATGCTGAAGCAAATAGATTAATTGAGAGTCGATCGTAAAGCAAACATGATCGGCTGAAATAGAGTCAATCGAAGAGGACGTGACTGTGGTAGTACACCTACAATCAGTACACATATTAAAAGAAAGGTCTAGCTTTCCTGAGAGTGATAACTCTCGAGAGAGTTATGGTGAGGTTGTGGATCCCCAACCACGTGCGGATTTGTTTTTCTAGGAAATCATTGAGACAGTGAAATCCTTGGTGAATGACGGATCAAGTGCAGGCGCTTATGCACTTGATCTTTTTACACCTCCGAAGTCAGCTTCGGAGGTAGTCAAGTTGCCATCGCTAGAATTTAAAAGATTCTTGCGAGTTATGCGTTGTGACGAGATCAAGCTGATCTACGTACCCGTCACAGAGTACGAGTATGTCGCCGATATTCGGTCGGCACAAGTGATTACTGAGAACGAACGAGTTCTCAGTAGCTCATTAATGGATGAGAGTGTCCTTGATGATAAGACCCGGATTGAGCGATACACGTCTCAATCTTGAGAGTCCTTAAAGACAAATCCTTTGTATAAGTACTTGGTTGAATTCAGGGATGTTTTACCTAATTTCGTGTTATGTGAGCTGCCTAAGGACAAAGGCACTCGGCATGAGATCGATCTGAAACCCGGTTCAAATTACTGTGTCATGAAGCGGTGACCACTGCCTCGTAAACAGGTCACAGCGATCGGCAAATTCTTTGCCGATCGCTTAGAAGCTGGTCATGTGAGGGAATCAACATCCCCACATAGCTCTCCCACCTTCTGTGTACGAAAGGCCACAGGAGGGTGGCGGATAGTGCACGCGTTCAAAAAAATGAACGCTGCAACCTTACCGGCTCAAACGCAGATACCGAGTAAGGACGTCATCATTGATGGTATGGCAAAAAGTGCCATCTTTTCGTCCATGGATCTGGTGGATGGATTCTATCAGATCCTCATGCGTGAACGGGACATCCTGTAAACAGCAGTAAGTATCCCCAGTGGTATGCTCTGGGGGTGGCAAGTGATACCACAGAGCTAAGTATCGTCCCTGCAACGTTTAACAGATGTGTTACAAAAGTGTTGCGATCGGTGAGAAATTATGCACCGAGCTAATTTGACGATGTCTTCGTCCTTAGCCGGGCTATGGATGGAAAGAAGGACGTGGAGGTTCCACGTCCGGAAGGTTCTCACGCTTATGCGAGAGCATAAAATGTTTGCGAACCTCAAGAAGTTTGTATCCCAGCGAATGAAATACCACTTCTTGGCTGCGTCTTGGGTAAAAATAGCGTATGCCCTGATCCGGAAAAGATCAAGGCGATTAGCGACTGACTTGTGTCAGGAGACGTCAAGGGACTTCGAAAGTTCCTTGGTTTAGCGGCGTACTTGCACAAGTACTCGCGAAACTACACCAAATGACCGTTTATCTCTCTCGTCTACTAAAGAAAAACGAGAGGCGGTAATGGAGTGCTGATTGTCAGCACTCCTTCAAAGGTATCGAGAAAATCTTGAAACAATCGCCAGTGTTGGGATTTGCAGACCAGGACAGACCAATCCATGTGGTCTGTGACGCCAGCGATTTTGCAATCGGCTGCGCGTTAATGCAGTACGACTCAGACGGCGTTGAGCGCGTCGTATGTTATTACTCGCGTCATCTGCAAGCATCTGAGCGTAACTACCCGGTGCATGACAAAGAAATCCTTGCCATGAAATATGCACTGGATAAGTTTCGGGTGGATCTCTTTGGAGATAAGCCCTTCATCGTTTATACCGACCATGCGTCATTACGCAAAGCCGTAATCAGTGCACACCTCTTGCAGCAAATGCAGAGGTGGATGTCTTTCTTCGCGGAGTACAACTTCTCCGTCGAGTATAAATCAGGAAGACTTAATGTCGTCACTGATGCTCTTTCGCGTCGGCCCGATTCGGAGCCGACTACTCAACCCAACAGTAGGAGTGATCCCACTGTTGCAACACTATCAGTGAGTGTTCCGTCGTCGAATCTGCTCGACGACGTGCGGAAAGCATACGCAGAAGATGAGTCTCTTCTGAGTGATGGATGATGTGTCTAATCCATGCGGTCAAGCTTTGAATAGCTTGACGTCTCAATACCGCTCTTCAACCGAACGGTATTCTGTTCGTGATGGACTGCTGTACTATACAGCATTTAACGGCGACACACCTCGTGTCGTCGTTCCGGCTCATAATGATTTGCGATTGCGCATCATGAAGAGTTTCACGATACCCCAACAAGTGGGCATCGCGGTTGAGAAAAGACTTACCTCATGGTGAGTTGTTACTTCTACTGGCCCCGCCAGTATGAGTTTGTGCGCAAATACTTTCGCGCTTGCAAAGTTTGTCTACAGGTGAAGCCTAGTCCTTCATCCCGCGCACCCTTGCAGCCTCTACCGATTCCGGCAGAGTGTTGGCAGTCCGTATCGATGGACTTCGTATTTAGGTTTCCCAAAGACGTTCACAAGAATACTGGCATTCTTGTGTTTGTTGATCGGTTCAGCAAGATGGTACATCTAGTTGCTGTACCGGAGTCAACTACAGCCCAGGGCTGTGCACGTGTCTTCACTGATACTATCTTCTGACTTCACGGGTTACCCCGTGAACTCTTGTC